GATGAATTTATTTTTTTATTTAAATTCAATTAATTAACAGGGGCGCCTGGGTGGCTCAGTGGGTTAAAGCCTCTGCCTTCGGCTCGGGTCATAATCCCAGCATCCTGGGATCTCGAGCCCCTCATCGGGCTCTCTGCTCAGCCGGTAGCCTGCTTCCCTTCCTCTCTCTCTCTGCCTGCCTCTCTGCCTAGTTGTGATCTCTGTCTGTCAAATAAATAAAATCTTTAAAATAAATAAATTCAATTAATTAACAAATAATATATTAGTAGTTTCACAGTTAGAGGTCAGTGATTCATCAGTCTTCTGTAATGCCCACTGCTCATTATATCATGTGAGAGTTGCTCCTTTTGATGAGCAAAGAAAGTGGTTTCTTCAGATGGAATCTATTCCTGGTGAAGATGCTGTGAAGACTGTTGAAATGACAACAGAGGATTCAGAATATTATATAAACTTCTTTGATAAAGGAGAAGCAGCAGGTTTAAGAAGATTGACTCCATTTTAAAAGGAGTTCTACTGTGGTATATGTACGTACACATACACACACACACACACATACACGAATATTATGCAACCATCAAAAATGATATCTTGCCATTTCCAACAACATGGTTGGAACTAGACAGTATTATGCTAAGGGAAATAAGTCAGAGAAAGAGAATTATCATAGGGGAAGGGAGGGAAAAATGAAACAAGACAAAACCAGAGAGGGAGACAAACCATAAGAGACTTAATCTCAGGAAACCACCCGAGGGTTGCTGGGGATTGGAGGGGTGTTGGACATTGGTGAGGGTATATGTTGTAATGAGCACTGGGTATTTTTTTTTTTTATCATGAAAAAACTGTATTTAGATTTACCAGCTGGACTCAGTTTAGATGATCCCAATTTTGTCGGCAACATCCAAAGCATCATAGTCAGGGGCCATCCGAATGTATGCTTTCTTCTCTCCATCAGGCCTGATTAAGGTGTTGACCTTGGCTACATCAATGTCATAGAGTTTCTTCACAGCCTGTTTGATCTGGTGCTTGTTGGCCTTGACATCCACAATGAACCCAAGTGTGTTGTTGTCTTCTGTTTTCTTCATGGCCGACTCAGCAGTCAGGGGGAACTTGATGATGGCATAGTGATCAAGCTTGTTTCTCCTGGGGGCGCTCTTTTGAGGGTATTTGGGCTGCCATCGGAGACGCAGAGTCTTGGGTCATTGGAACGTAGGTGACGTGCGGATCTTCTTTTTTTTGTGACTGTGGACGCCTTTCCGCACCGCTTTCTTGGCCTTCAAAGCCTTTGCTTTGGCTTCGGCTTTGGGAGGGGCCGGGGCTTCCTTCTTAGCTTTCGGCGCCACCTTCGTAAAAGCGAGCACTGGGTATTATTATATAAGACTGATGAATCACAGACCTGTACCCCTGAAACAAATAACATGTTAGTTAATTGAATTTAAAGATAAAAGAAGTTCTGTGGGCAAAATGCTACCAATAGCATCACATGCTGCAGAGAAAATATTTGTGGAAGAAGATTGATGCAACAAACTTCATTGTTATCTTATTTGAAGAAATTGTCACAGCGACCCCAGCGTTTGGCAGCCACCACCCTGGTCAGCAGCCATCCACATCGAGGCAAGACCCTCCAAGACTTTCCTTTGAATTAAGGCATTTACTTTTTTCTTTTTTTTTTTAGACAATGCTATTGCATGCCTAACCGGCTATAGTAGAAGCTGACTTATATGCACTGGGAAACCAAAAGATTCATTTGACACATTTTATTGCAGTGTTCACTTTATTATCATCTGGAACCAAACATGTAGTAACTCCAAGGTTATGTCCATAGTTGCTCTCTGAGGATCTCATTGCATTGGGCGGGGACAGGTGGAGGGGTGTTCCAATAGACAGCATCTTTTTCCCCTCCACATGGAGAATGTGGAGATTCCAAATAGCTCCTTTATTACAAGAGGGCTAGAGGAACCAGCTTGATGAGAGAGTTGTATCAGACTTGCTAATTCCCTAGCCACCACCAGTTCGACTTCCCACCTATGTCTAGCCTGGGCCAGTCCAGCCCAAGGAAAGTTTACATATGCAGAGAAAACCCACTTATTGAGGTAACTGCTACCTACTCTCCAGTCCAGGGAAAGAGGGAAGGAAAAAGAGATTAGAATCCCTTCCCACCATTAAGGTAACTCACTCTACCTCCCTGAGGAGGGTATAGGAGTGATAAGAGACCAGGAGCCTTTAGCAGATCTGTGGTCTTGCAGTTTGGCTCAGAGAAGAGTAGTTTGTGTCTCCTCCCTGTTTCAATTTGTCAGAAAAAAAATTTTTAAGATTATTTATTTGGGAGAGAGCACAAGCAGGGGGAAGGCAGAAGGCAGGTGAGAAGCAGACTCCGCGCTGAGCAGGGAGCTGGACTTGGAGATACAGGGCCATTTTCTAGGACCCCGAGATCATGACCTGAGCCAAAGTCAGATGCTTAACTAACTGGCCACCCAGGTGCCCCTTGTTAGAAATGATTTCTGAAAATTAGTTGAACTGAACTGTTTCAATATTGAGCTGCATTCACAATAGAAAAGAATGTCATTGTCCTATGACTTAAACCTTTTGAGTTCAATACCTTTAAAGAGCATTTACTATGGCCTTGGATAGAACCATGTTTCTTTGGATTAAAAAAACAGAGAAGATATACTTCAGACTTCTTGTTTTTCTTATATTTAGATCTACCAAGTTCATAGTTTTATAAACCTGGTCATATATTCATTACTTGCTATGAGCAAGAATTACACTAGATAGAATTAGGACATGATTCTCTCATTGGAAGGCCTCACAGTTAATAGAGAAGACAGTCACAGTATTGGTGATACTTGCGCATTACCACAAAACCACAGGCAGAATGTTAAAATTATGTAAAAAATAGAGAAATTAACAAGTCCTAATGAGACATGTAAGGAAAGTTGTTTCTATGTAATACATGCATGAAGATTTTGTGTGAAGTTTTGAATTGGTAATCCTATTTAATTACCTATTTTCTACAATTCTCCTGGAAGTAAGTAACAAGTTGATCATTTCAAATAAGCCAAAGTTACTTGGTCAAAAGTTATCCCTTTAAGGTATATTTTTTAGTTGTTTGCTCTTAGTTTTATGCCATCAAGGTATTTTAGTGGGAAGAGATACCAGATATTACATTTTTATTATATGAAGTCTTTTATTTTTAATTGTTTTAAAGATATTATTTATCTGACAGAGGTAGCAAGAGAGGGTACATAAGCAGGGGGGAGTGGAGAGGAAGAAGCAGCCTTCCCGCTTAGCAGGGAGCCCAATCCAGGGCTCCATCCCAGCACCCTGGGATCATGACCTGAGCTGGAAGGCAGACGCTGAATGATAGCCACCCAGGCACCCCATGAAGTCTTTTAAATTAAAAAGCAGTGGCTGGGGTGCCTGGCTGGCTCTGTCAGTAGAACCATGTGACTCTTGATATTGGGGTTGTGAATTCAAGCCCATGTTGGGTATAAAGATTACTTAAAAATAAAATCTTTTTTTTTTTTTTAAGATTTTATGTATTTATTTGACAGATCACAAGTAGGCAGCGAGGCAGGCTCCCCGCCGAACAGAGAGCCCGATGTGGGGCTCGATCCCAGGACCCTGGGATCATGACCCGAGCCAAAGGCAGAGGCTTTAACCCACTGAGCCACCCAGGTGCCCCAAAAATAAAATCTTTAAAATGAGAGTTGGAGGTGGCATCACATTGCTACCTCAGAAATAGAAACTAGAATGAATACTCATGTCTTTAACGACAAAGGAAATTTTTATTCTCTATTCACTAAGATTTCAATTGTAGAGTCACAGAGGAGCAACTAGAGCAAAAAGGGAACTGTCTGTGCATGCATGCAGAAAAGGCACCCCAGAGGGTGGAAAGAACACGAATGGTAGAGTCGGGCCAACCCAGGTCAAATCCTCACCCTGAGTAACCTTGGGCAAATTCTTAACAAACTGAGCCTTCATTTTCTCCCTGCCTGTAAGGAATAATAGCCATTTCATCATTTCATTCCATTCTCCTAGAGATATGTACAATGTGTTTTTAAGTCCACAACCTGAGCAGTAATGCTCACAGTATTTTTTTTTTTTTAAGATTTTATTTGACAGAGCACAAGTAGGCAGAGAGGCAGGCAGAGAGGGGAGAGAGCAGGCTCCCCGCTGAGCAGAGAGCCCACGGGACTCTATCCCAGGATCCTGAGATCATGACTTGAGCTGAACGCAGAGGCTTAACCCACTGAGCCACCCAGGCACCCCGCTCACAGTATTTCTAAGCCTACAGTCTAAAGGAAATCTTCAAACAAAAGTGGGCCAAGCATATTTTAAGAAGTTAGTACCAGGTAGCAAGCTGCCTATAAAATTTCAAGAAAGAGGATGCTAAATAAAATAGATACTAATAGTGCTTATTTTGATACTACAGTTGATATCTTCCTGACTGAAAACATAGAAATTGTTCCTTATGGGTTGAAGTCTTAAAATCCCTTAAATGTCCAGTAAAGAATAGGAGATAAACAAACAACAAGACATCATGGAAACGTTTGTGGTATTGAGGAGTATAGGTAAGATAAAAATGGTTTCAATGTGTTACAGGATGTATGTATCTTAAAATTACACTTAGGTTTTTTAAATGTGAAGAAAAACTGAAAAAAAAAAATCGCAACAATTGCAAGAGTGATTCTTTCATTTTCCCAATTTGTCAGTACCAGGAGGTTGCTTTCATAATAAGAAAACTATGTAAGAGACCCAATGAGCCTCGTGGAGAAAAAGTTTCTTTATAAACAAAACACAAACTTGGGTTCCTTAATGCTTGGTCCCATTAAGAAGGAAACCCTCAGTGTTGGTTCTTTTGACTCTTAGGCACCAGCCTTTAACTCTTTTGCTCCTGTCAGCTGTCATATTTCTATATTTCTACCATGTCGACTGGATAGTCAGAAATCCAACACTCAATCTTTGCAAAAGCAGTGTTTTTCTCTGTTTTAATGTTACAGATTTATTTGAGGTTCCTAGATTATCAAATGGAGCACTCGAATGAATGCAAGAGAAACTTCGTTGCAGTTTATGATGGAAGCAGTTCCATTGAAAATCTGAAGGCTAAGTTTTGCAGCACTGTGGCCAATGATGTGATGCTGAAAACAGGAGTTGGAGTGATCCGAATGTGGGCAGATGAAGGTAGTCGGCTAAGCAGATTCAGAATGCTCTTTACTTCCTTTGTGGAGCGTAAGTAAATCCTATAGCATTGAGATCTTCTACACAATTTTCATTCATTCAGAATTCAATTATTGAGCATTTCCTTCTGACAAAGACTGCAAGTCAAAGAGAATGTACAGATAACTAAGTCGGAGTCCCTATTCTCAAGGAATTAACTGTCCTGGGTGAGAAACCATGTCAAAACATAAATTGCAACACTGCCTTATTATAGAGGTGTACACAGAATAGGGGACGCAGAAAGTGGAAACTCCTTTCAAGATTTTCAAAATTAAAAATAATTACCAGTGGTTTAATTCAGTTTGGTGTATAATTATGAATCTACCAAACTATGCTCATCAAAATTCAGAAAGGCTGTGTTTTCTTTGTTTCTAACTTTTTATTTTTAAATAATTTTAAGCTTATTTAAAGTTATAAAAATAGAACGAGGTTGGTTTTTTTTAAGTTTTTTTAAATTAACATATAATGTATTATTTGCTTCAGGGGTGCGGGTCTGTGATTCATCAGTCTTACACAATTCACAGCATTATGGATAGCACATACCCTCCCCCGTGTCCATCACCCCATCCCTTCACCCTCCCCTCCAGCAACCCCTCGGTTTGTTTCCTGAGATAAAGTTTCGTTCCCTCTCTGGTTTTATTTTGTTTCATTTTTCCCTCCTTTCCCTTATAATCCTCTGTCTTGTTTCTCAAATTCCTCATATCAGTGAGATCATATGATAATTGTCTTTCTCTGATTGGCTTGTTTTGCTCAGCATGATACCCTCTAATTCCATCCACGTCATTTCAAATGGCAAGACTTTGGAGTTTTTTGATGGCTGCATAGTATTCCACTGTGTATATCTACCACATCTTCTTTATCCATTCATCTGTTGGTGGACATCTAGGTTCTTCCCATAGTTTGGCTATTGTGGACATTGCTGCTATAAACATTCAGGTGCACGTGCCCCTTCGGATCACTTCATTTGTATCTTTTTAAGGTAAATACCCAGTAGTGCAATTGTTGGATCATAGGGTAGCTCTATTTTCAACTTTTTGAGGCACCTCCTCCACACTGTTTTCCAGAGTGGCTACATCAGCTTGCATTCCCACCAACAATGTAGGAAGATTCCCATTTCTCCACATCCTCGCCAACACCTGTTTTTCCCTGACTGGTTAATTTTAGCGATTCTAACTGGTGTAAGGTGTATCTCATTGAGGTTTTGATTTGTATTTCCTGATGCTGAGTGATGTGGAGCACTTTTTCATGTGTCTGTTGGCCATCTGGATGTCTTCTTTGCAGAAATGTCTGTTCATGTCCTCTGCCCATTTCTTGATTGGATTATTTGTTCTTTGGGTGTTGAGTTTGATAAGTTCTTCTTAGATTTTGGGTACTAGCCCTGTATCTGATATGTCAGTTGCAAATATCTTCTCCCGTTCTGTCAGCTGTCTTTTGGTTTCGTTGACTGTTTCCTTTGCTGTGCAAAAGCTTTTGAACTTCATGAAGTCCCAATAGTTCATTTTTGCCCTTGCTTCCCTTGTCTTTGGCGATGTTTCTAGGAAGAAGTAGCTGTGGCTGAGGTCGAAGAGGTGGCTGCCTGTGTTCTGCTCTAGAATTTTGATGGATTCCTTTCTCACACTGAGGTCTTTCATCCATTTTGAATCTGGTTTTGTGTGTGGTGTAAGGAAATGGTGCAGTTTCATTCTTCTGCATGTGGCTCTCCAATTTTCCCAGCACTATTTGTTGAAGAGACTGTCTTTTCTTCATTGGACATTCTTTCCTGCTTTGTCGAAAATTAGAGGACCATAGAGTTGAGGGTCCATTTCTGGGCTCTCTATTCTGTTCCATTGATCTATGTGTCTGTTTTTCTGCCAGTACCATACGATCTTGATGATGACAGCTTTGTAATAAGCTTGAAGTCTGGAATTGTGATGCCACCAACTTTGGTTTTCTTTTTCAACATTTCTTTGAAAAACCTTCGTGGTATTTTGATAGGCATTTCATTAACCGTGTAGATTGCTTTAGATAGTATAGACATTTTCACATTATTTGTTCTTCCGATCCATGAGCATGGGATGTTTTTTCATTTCTTTGTGTCTTAATTTCTTTCTTGAGTACTCTGTAAGTTTTCTGAGTACAGATTCTTTGCCTCCTTGGTTAGATTTATTCCCAGGTATCTTATGCTTATGAGTAGAATTGGAAATGGTATCAACTCCTTAATTCCTCTTTTTTCTATCTTGTTGTTGATATGTAGAAATACAACTGATTTCCGTGCATTGATTTTATATCCTGACACTTTACTGAATTCCTGTATGAGTTCTACTAGTTGGAGTGGAGTCTTGGGTTTTCCACATAAAGTATCATATCATCTGCAAAGAGTGAGAGTTTGACTTCTTTGCCGATTCGGATGCCTTTTATTTCTTTTTGTTGTCTGATCACTGAGGCTAGGACTTCTAGACTACATTGAATAGCAGTGGTGATGGTGGACAGCCCTGGGTTCATGACCTGAGGGGAAAAGCTCTCAGTCTTTCCACATTCATAATGATATTCGCTGTGGGTTTTTTATAGATGGCTTTTATGATACTGAGGTATGAACCCTCTCTCCCTCCACTGTGACAAGTTTTGATTAGAAAGGATGCTGTACTTTCTCAAGTGCTTTTTCGGCATCTACTGAGATGGTTCTTGTTCTTTCTTTTATTAATGTAGTGTATCACACTGATTGATTTGCAGTTGTTGAACCAATCTTGCAGCCCAGGAATGAATCCCACTTGGTTGTGGTTAATAATCCTTTTAATGTACTGTCGGATCCTATTGGCTAGTATTTTGGTGAGAATTTTTGCATCCATGTTCATCAGGGATATTGGCCTATAATTCTCCTTTTTTTTTTTTTAAGATTTTATTTATTTATTTATTTGACAGAGATCACAAGTAGGGAGAGAGGCAGACAGAGACAGAGGGAAGCAGGATCCCTGCTGAGCGAGAGCCCGACGCAGGACTCGATCCCAAGACCCTGAGATCATGACCTGAGCTGAAGGCAGTGGCCTAACCCATTGAGCCACCCAGGCGCCCTAATTCTCCTTTTTGATGGGGTCCTTGCCCGGTTTTGGGATCTAGGTAATGCTGGCCTCATAAAATGAGTTTGGAAGTTTCCCTTCCATTTCTATTTTTAGCAACAGTTGCAGGAGAATAGCTATTAATTCCTCTTTATTTTTTTTTTATTTTTTTTTTTTTAAGATTTTTTATTTATTTACTTGACAGACAGAGATCACAAGTAGGCAGAGAGGCAGGCAGAGAGAGAGGAGGAAGCAGGCTCCCTGCTGAGCAGAGAGCCCCATGTGGGGCTCGATCCCAGGACACTGGGATCATGACCTGAGACGAAGGCAGAGGCTTTAACCCACTGAGCCACCCAGGCGCCCCTATTAATTCCTCTTTAAATGTTTGGTAGAATTCCCCTGGGAAGCCATCTGGTCCTGGGCTCTTGTTTGTTTTGTTGGGAGATTTTTTAATGACTGCTTCAATCTCCTTACTGGTTATGGGTCTGTTCAGGTTTTCTATTTCTTCCTGGTTCCGTTGTGGTAGTTTATACATCTCTAGGAATGCACCAATTTCTTCCAGATTGTCAAATTTGCTGGCGTATAGTTGTTCATAATATGTTCTTGTAATTGTTTGTATTTCTTTGGTGTTGGTTGTAATCTCTCCTCTTTCATTCATGATTTTATTAATTTGGGTCCTTTCTCTTTTCTTTTTGATAAGTCTGACCAAGGGTTTTATCAGTCTTATTAACTCTTTCAAAGAACAAGCTCCTAGTTCCATTGATCTGTTCTACTGTTCTTTTGTTTCATTGATTTCTTCTCTAATATTTATTATTTCTCTTCTCCTGCTGGGTTTAGGCTTTCTTTGCTGTTCTTTCTACAGCTCCTTTAGGTGTAGGGTTGGATTGTGTATTTGAGACCTTTCTTGTTTCTTGAGAAAGGCTTGTATTGCTATATACTTTCCTCTCAGGACTCTCTTTGCTACATCCCAAAGAACAGTTGCGTTTTCATTTTCATTTGTTTCCATGAATTTTTTAAATTCTTCTTTAATTTCCTGGTTGACCCATTCCTTCTTTAGTAGGATGCTCTTTACCCTCCATGTATTGGAGTTCTTTCTAACTTTCCTCTTGTGGTTGAGTTCTAGTTTCAAAGCATTGTGGTCTGAAAACATGCACTTGTTTTCAAGTGCATTTCATTGGGAATGATTCCAGTCTTTTGGTACCGGTTGAGACCTGATTTGTGACCCAGGATGTGATCTGTTCTGGAGAATGTTCCCTGTGCACTAGAGAAGAATGTGTATTTAGTTGCTTTGGGATGGAATGCTCTGAATATATCTGTGATGTCCATCTGGTCCAGTGTGTCATTTAAAGCCTTTATTGTTGATCTTTTGCTTAGATGATCTGTCCATTTCAGTGAGGGTGCTCTTAAAGTCCCCTACTATTATTGTATTATTGTTGATGTGTTTCTTTGATTTTGTTATTAATTGGTTTATATAATTGGCTGCTCCCATGTTCGGGGCATAGAAATTTAAAATTGTTAGATCTTCTTGTTGGACAGACCCTTTAAGTATGATATAGTGTCCTCCCTCATATCTTATTATAGTCTGTGGCTTAAAATCTAATTTGTCTGATATAAGGATTGCCACCCTGGCTTTCTTTTGATGACCATTAGCATGGTAAATTGTTTTCCACCCCCTCACTTTAAATCTGGAGGTGTCTTTGGGTCTAAAATGAGTTTCTTGTAGACAGCATATTGATGGGTTTTGGTTTTTTATCCATTCTGATGATGTGTGTCTTTTAATTGGGGTATTTAGCCCATTTATATTCAGGGTAACTATTGAAAGATATGAATGTAGTGCCATTGTATTTCCTGTAAGGTGACTGTTACTGTATATCATCTGTGTTCCTTTCTGGTCTGTTACTTTTAGGCTCTCTCTTTGCTTAGAGGACCGCTTTCAGTATTTCCTGTGGGATTGGTTTGGTGTTTGCAAATTCTTTTATT